GGTTGCGAGTCGCGTAAAGCCTGCAGAAGAGTTATGCAGACAGGCAACGTTCGGATCTCGAGTTTTAAGTGGGGGACTTGGTCTTATGAAGGTGTCACCTTGGAAATGTGTCACCCTATTCCGGAAGTGGGGAAAGTTGGGCCCCCGATTCAATGGTCCCTTCAGGATTACCGCCCAGGTGGGCAAGGTTGCGTACTGGCTGGATTTTCCTGATGAGCTCAGTCAAATCCACAACACCTTCCATGTTTCTCAGCTTCAGAAGTGTGTGGTTGATGATTCGACAATTGTTCCTTTGGATGATATTCAGGTTGATGATCGCCTAAATTATATTGAGAGACCAGTGGCGATCTTGGATAGGAAGACAAATGCATTGCGCAACAAGGTGGTATCTTTGGTCAAGGTCCAGTGACAGCATCGAAAAGGTTTTGAATGGACTTAGGATCCTGAGGCAGAAATGCGAGAGCACTACCCTGAGTTATTTGTAGATAAGGACTTCGAGGATGAAGTCTAATTCAATTGGAAGAGATTTGTAACGTCTAGTCCAGGTATGAATCAACTTTCCTGTATTTTCTTTAAAAGGGGTGGCCACAACGTGGTGGAGCATCACAACGACGTGGCATATTAGTTTGGACCGCGGGATTTAAATGACCTGCCACGACGTGGTCTTGGGGGACCACGACATGGCAGGTGTTTTATGGGAAACCCCTAATTTCGAGTCTTGGATCCTATATAAGTAACATTAAGTCTAGGGTTTCAGCCTCCATCTTCCTCTAAACCTCAGACACCCTAACCATGGCCTCCATTGAAGTTGTGAGCTCATTCTTGGTACTTTTTGGTTATCTTAGAATGAGAATGAAGCTTTTGGTGTGGTGATTACTTGGCAAGCATCATTTCTTTGGCTAAGCTTATCTCTTGGACCTTGGTGAGTGCCCAAGACTCAACCTTTTCTTGCCATGTTGTTAGATCTCTTGTTTTTGTCCCCTTTTTCCATGATTTAGAGGGACTTAATTGATGGGATCTCATAAAGTTTGCAACTTTATGAATCTCCAGGTCAAATTGAGCAATTAGTATCTTGGATCTGGATTATAATCAACTTTTGATGTCATGCATGGGATTTTAGTCATTAAACCCTATTTTTGACCTAAAATGGAAAATGCATGTATTTGACATGCAAGTCCATAAAACCACGATTTTTAAGGTCACTTTGGAGTGTGAATCCATTCTGAAAACTGTAGAGGTGCAACTCTAAGGATTTGGTGCTTAATGAGAATCTTTATGCATTAAGTCACCATTAGTGGTTGGGTTTGGGACTTTGGCTTATGGACGGATTTGAGGGATAAAGTTGGAAACTTTACCCATCAAGACCATGGGAAGGACCAGATCTGAGCCTTGGGGTTTTTGTAGTCGAAGGAAAGGACTTAATTGTTTAAGTTGTGCAGACACATCACCACGACGTGGTGACTTGGTCAAGACCCGCCTGTTTTGATGGTTTGCGGCCACAACGTGGCGACTAGCTGGGTTGACTTTTGACTTTTGACTTTGACCTGGATTTTGATCAAAGTTTGACCTAGGGGTATTTTTTGGTAATTTGATCTATATTTTGAGTTTTAATCACTGTATTTTTAAAGGTGACTGGTAGAGTTGATTTCGGAGCAGCGTGTTGTTTCACTTTTTCATCTTTCTGTGAGGTGAGTCTTCTCACTGTATCCATGGGTCGAAGACACCAATGTCGGCACATTATTGTGTTATCTAGGATGATAGTTGTTATGTGGTTTATACGTAGTTGTATGATTGGGTTGAAAGATACCCAAGGGCGGGGTCCATATGTGTTGATCGGGTTGAAATACACCCCAAGGCGAGGCCCTAGGGCTGGGCCCATATATGTATATCGAGTTGGAATATACCCCAGGGTTAAGCCTAGTTGTATATTTTAGTGTGTGGTACTTTGGGAACTCACTAAGCTTTGTGCTTACAGTTTATGTTTATGGTTTCAGGTACTTCCAATTCAAAATGGAAGGGCCCGACGTGATGGCACAATGTCCTCCCCTCATGATTTCCACAATTGAATAATTCTAGTCTAATATTTTGGATATTATATTTGGTGATGGTTTTTGGAACAATTAATGGATGAAATTAATAGTCTTTCAATGAAAAATTTTGTCACTGTTTTTGGTTTGTTACAGTGAGATTTTAAAAGATTCTAGTACTTAATAACATTATACTTTTAATGTGATTATGTCATATCGAACCCGTTCGGCTAATGATCCTCCACCACACAAAGGAGCGGTGGGTGAAAAGGACACTCATTCAACGGTCATTTTATAGTTTTTTTCCTTATACCTCTCTTATATCATGGCTTCGTGAATGAGGCGTATTAGAGACTCGACTGACTTTTCTTATACATATAGTATTAAACGTTTTGATATATATAACGTGTATTTTAAAACTTGTTAAAACACAAGGTTAAAATATTAAATATCTAAATTAATCATATAATTAATTAATTAATTTAAACCTAATATGATTTAATTGTCTTCTTTTAATTAAACAATTAATTAAATTAATTAAATCATTTAAGAATTAAATAATTATCTTTAACTATACCTTTAATTAAATAATTCAAATTTAATCTTAATCCTTCTAATTTTCGAAATTAGGGTTAGGGTTATCAAGTTTTAATTGTTCAAATTTTAAGACATTTAAATTAACAAATAAGGAAACTAGAAACCCTAAGAAAACCCTAGGGATGTTCGAAAGTAGGCGAGGAGGCTAAGGTTTGATGAAACCCTAGCAATTATTGAAATTTGCAAGAGGCAAGGGTTTATTTTCGATAAACCCTAGCTTAATCAATTCACCTCATGCACAATCAATTGTGAGACCAAGGCTCTGATGCCACTGATGGGTTTTATAGGTTATAAAATTACATGTGAATTCGAAAAAAATCACTTAACACTTAAGGACACATGCAACCTATAGGGATTCATGTCTTCACAATTAATATCAACATACTATGAATATCCAGAAAACTATAGAACCCTAGTATAATCTAAAAATACAAGAGTTTGGGTTTACATACCTTAGAATTATTATAGAAAATAATTCTCTTGGTTCCTTCTAGATCTTGGAAAGCTAGCACCAAAAGTATGATGTCTCTAATGGCTCACACCCAAAACCAGAAACCCTAGAATGAGAAGGAGAAAGGAGAGATGAGGGAATTTTCGTTCATAACCCTCTTAGAAAGGTTTTGCATGAATTTTGGCTCCCAAGGGGTCCTATTTATAGTTTAGGTAACTTATATGCAAAGCCAGATTTGAATTAATTAAATAACAGATCTAATCTCAGTTTAAATCATTTCCTCATATGCAACTAGGAGGCTTCCAAAAACCATAGGAATCCTTCAAAAACCTTTCATGTCATGGAGGGTTCTAGAATTGCTTCTTTTGTTCAACTATTGAACAATTACAATTCACCATTTGTACCTTTAATTAATTCCAATTAATTCTAGATTAATTATGAATAATAATTAATTCATTCTAATTAATTTATTAACCATATAAATTAACAAATCAATTATTTAACTATTGATGTCATATTAATTTATTAATCACATAATAAATTAACAAATCAATTATCTATTTCTAATTAATACATTACTCATATAACATATTAACAAATCATTTTCCCATAATTTCCAATTAATTTATTAATCATATAATAATCTAATAAGTTATACTTCTCTCTCCTAATATCATTTCTAGTTATTTCTGGTTATGAGGGCAATCCAAAAAGGACTTTGTTTCTAATTACAAGTTTATACCAATTTAGTTAAGAACTTAGACACATTAATCCAACACACACGTCTCTCGTACAACATTAGGGTTGCATTATATATATATATATATATATATATATATATATATATATATATATATATAAAATGTCGGTGTAATGGGCCCTCTGACAACAAATTTTGCATAAACTCAACTTGTCCTTTGATAGAGACAATTGGTTCTGATGCATGTCGAAGCATCGAAACATTATAGTAACTCTTCGGCATTTGTACAACTCTCTTCGCTAAGAACATCTATTGGGACTTTCTATGCCTACGAACTATTCTGAACCATTATGAACTGTTACAAAGCTTTAAAATAGTTTGGACTGCTTCTGCACTAAACTCACTACCTCCATTAGACTTCACATCTCAACAAATTAATTGCATACATTTAACACCCCCCTTCACCCCAACCCCCCTCTTACCTCATTATGTTGTGGTTGTTGAACTTCTACGAAATTGTGCTATCAACATGAACAATAAAAGCATAGTATATCGCTCAAACATGTTACCTATAACATGTTATATCCTTTAGTCCTAAAATGAAAGGTCAATGCTCACTTTATGTCAAAAAAAAATGTTGCGTACATATAAAAACTATTTGCAAAAAACACAACATACTTCCGTTTATTTTTTTATTTAGCATCCTACTTTCATTTCCTTTTATTACGGCATTGTACTTAAAAAATCATTGTACTATAAAAACCTACTCAATTAGTACATACAATTTTCTTTGTGTAGAACATTGTACTTTGAAAATATAATATTATATTTTTTTTCTTTGTATTTTGTATGAAATTGTTATAGTTTTATAAATTTTCCAAATTACAGCGATTTACTACAAAGAAACAAAAATAAGATGTGATAACCTGATAATTGAAGTGTGTTTGCTCTTTCATGCATAAAACCCTTAAAAAAGGTAAAAACCTTGTTACATAATTTAACCCTAATAATAAAACAGCCAAAAAGAAATACCCAAATGTAGAGAACTTCACTACTACATAAAGTTTCATCCTTGGGATCTAAATTCCTGCATCCAAAGAGTTGTACATCGTGCTACATAACATGTACATTGGATGATTGCTGCTGAAAATTTATACATGTTTACTCTGTTTTCGTGTTGTATAATCATCATTTACAAAAAGTGTACATGCTAAATGAGGTTTAATTATTCTCTTGGCAAACGTTTTTCCTCCTCCACTTGTTCAAGCAAGGCTTGTAGTTCAGCTTCACTTAGACCCTCCAACCGTTTCTGTATTGAAATGTTACAAGTGACACTTTAAATAAAAAAAATAATGACAAAAAAAAAATTCAAAAATAATATGTGGGACACATCTTATTCAACTCGCCTCCATAACTTTCATTTCATAGTCACGTAATTGTTGAGCATATGTCATTTCTTTATTTGAGACCCGAAAAATATAAGTTGAAATCCATCCAACTGTAAGACCTAACACCAACACTAACTGGACAACATTCCCAGCTTGCAAAGGATCAACTCCAAAGAACTGCAAAAAAAAAAAGTCCAAAAAGACTTATTTTTGCAAAAGAATTTGAAATGAACCCATTTTTACAGAGATTGGGCTAGATCCAAAAGAGTAAAGAGGCCCAATAGAGCAAACATAAATAAAATTATAAAAAGGAAAAGAAAGGATACCTCCAATCCACTTTTTAGACCAATCCCAAAGAATGTAACTCCAAGTCCAATAAAAAGAACATCTTTCCTACTATACCCAAATGGAACCTGCAAAAAACAACTCATAGATGAGATTACAAAATTTAATAAGTCAATAACTATTAAGCATAATAACTGCTTAAATTTTTTAAAACATTTGATTTCATCACAAAGTGGTAAAGGAGAGCAATATTAGATGTTAAACATAAAGTATCACAAAGAAAAAGGGTAAAAACGCCACCCCCCATGGGAATTAGGGCATTTATGTCTTTTACTGTTTGATGTAGCAATTGGGTTTTGCTTAAACCTAAACAAGAATTTAAAGATATTAATATGAAAAATGATTCAGTGGATACTCGAAAGTCAAACAATGTGAAACTTGCCTTGGCTTTATTAGATGAGTCATCAGTAACACCATCAGGGCTTGAGGAATTGCTGCATCTGGGGGTTATAAATGTCATTTTCTTTGATATTAACCCGTGAAATTCTCTTGTTGAATAAGAAGGGTTTCTGGTTGTTGAAAATCTATGAGAAATAACTCTTTCTAGAAGAAAACAAAGGACAAATAATTAGAAATTCTCAAAGAAGCATACACGAAAGTCAAGTGAAATTATAAATGGTAAACTATTAATTGGAACTGGAATAATATAAATTTAAATTTAGATCAAACTGTAATATCTCTAGTTTAATGGCATCAATAAATACAAATATTTACTTCCAAAATATGCAACCTTCCATCCCACATGCAATACTGAATGGGAAATTTGAGAAATTATGCCTGAAAACACCTCTCTAAAAAAAATATTCTCAATAATGACACCCTCTGAAAAACATGTATTTCTTTGCTTTTGTTCCAAAAATGCCCCTCCCAAATACCCCCACCCCCAATAAAACTATTGGAAGTGGTGGTATGGGAGCGCTTGGTAGGGGCATATTCGGAACAAAAGCAAAGAAAGACACATTTTTCAGAAGATGTCATTTTTGAGCACATTTTTGAGAGAGGAGGTATTTTCAGGCATAATTTCTTGAATTTCCCATTGAATACACCAATACATGCAAATTAACTGATAGTAGAAACTAACTGTTGGTGCACATGCTAAAAACTTCAAATGAGATGACATAAATATGTGGCAAAAATGGAAGGTGCAGAAGAGCTTCACATATTAAGAGGAAGAAATCAGGCCTGAAAGCTCCACTTTCTCCATATGGAATGATCCATTAACTTCTTTTTTACATAATCTTTACAAAATTTATAGAACCAAAGTGTTCCATCTTATTTGCAATACTCGTTGACCTCTTAATGAATTATGGTTATATACATACACAAGTGTATTCACCCATCATACTTATAGCCTACTTTCATCATCTAGTGAGATTATCACTATCTTCCTTAAGAGCACTACATGGTGTATGAATCCTACTCTTTTTCTTATAACCAACAAAGTTGCATTTTTATCCATAGTCATCTAGCTTCATTAATGGAGCCAAAAATTCTAAGATGCCTAATTGTAGCCTTGCAACAACTCCATGCTTCATTAGGTTCCTAAGATATTATACTAGTCTTAAATCCCCCTATTCCAAAGAAGTACATTTTTTTCAATCAATCTCATGTCATATATGTTTTGTTATCCATGTACCTTAATTTTAATTGGCTTGTGTTGCCTGGTTCCCAAAAACAAACAGATTGTTGAAAAATCAAATAAACTTTTTTTATTTCCATCAATTTCTAACACAATGATATATCATGCCATGCCTCCTAGAATAATAAAGTGTTTCCAAAAAATCTATAGGGAGCCCACCTAGAAATATGAAGAATAACTCTGTAGGTATTCAGGCATACAGTTTAATCAAATGTCGTGACACTTTTAACATAATAGGAGATTCTCATAGACAATATGTAACTAAAACCATCCAACTTTAAAGGAACTGTGAAAACCATGCAATTTCTTCAATCTGGTACAGTTTTCTGTTTGAAATTACCTAAAATAATCAAGTTTGAGAAGGATAATGGTTTTAGTTTAAGATTAAAGCTCATTGACCAAATTAGAAACGAAATGAAAGTATGCTCTTATTCATTACAATAGAGAGTCTACCTGATCAAACTTAATATAATCAAAAAACAAAGGGAACAACTAAACAAGTGATATAAGCTTATAACTTTCGAAACAAAAGGAAGGTTTGCAACTTTCGTGAATTCTCATAACCGAAGTTTTTACATTCCGAGTCGCTAATCAACCCATAAACAAACATATGTACAAATTACAACTAGTAGCAATGATTCTAAACCCTAAATTTTAGTTTCTGAAATTCAACAAACCTTTACATGGAACTTCAATAGTAATTGGCTTCAGCTGGGAAAGAGGAAGAACTGAAATGCCTACGGAAGATGTACTCGCCATGGCTATTCGCTTCATTCCGATTGGATTAGAAGCCATCGCTACAATTTTGCTCCCACTCTCTAGGAATACCTCACAAATATAATCCTTTTATCTTCAATCAATAACCTTAGAGAGTTTATATTCTGTCACATTTAGCCCATAAATTTTGGTTTTGATAACTTTTCCCCTCTAACTTGAAAATATAATTTTGTTTCTTCATGTTCGTTTCAACCACAAGGTTTATGAATGGTCGACTTTTGGTAACCGGGGAAAGAGCTACTATACAGTTTTGTTTCAATTACATTAAGTATTGGAATTTGAATAGATTGCCGAATTTAAATAAACATATTTAGACGTTGATCAGTTTATCCATTATCTTATATGTGATATCCAAGTAAAGGTAGATGTAGATTTTTCCATCTCTTGTTTTGTGGCTTCTTCCCTTTCGACCCAAGTTGTATAATATGTTATTG